TTTGTGATGTCCGTTGACGCAAAACGCGTGCTGCATGGGACATATATTGTTGGATGGTTTGAGCCTTGATGCAGGACCGCTTAGACCGAGAGTTTGCTAGCACCGTCGTCGCGTGTCGCACATTTCTTCTTTCTTCCTAGGCTGGTGATGAATCTATCGCGGACATCCACCAGGAGCTTTCCGCGGCGCGTCCGATGAGTCATGTACCTGGCGCGAAATTTCAAGGGCTGCACCACCTTTTGACACCTTCAGGAGGTAGAGGAGATGGTTCCGGAGACTGAAGCAGTCGGAGCCCGAAACGACGAGGACATCATGCATGATGATCCGAAGGATGCAGACAAGTGTCATGGGGTGTCAGTCAGTGGATGCACGGATCATAGATTCAAGGATGATAGTAAGGATGCATTCGCTCGATTTGGCTGAAGATTTTCTTCGGCCTTTTCCGAGGCTGGGAATTTGCGCTGAGAGGCGATGATTGCACAGTCATTCAACAATACAGGGCAAGACATTCATGTTCATTTTTATTCAACAACTTCGTTCAGGCCCGATTACAAGAAACCCTCCATGTTTTCGTTTTCCCTGCAAGACGGAATCCACAGGGCCTATATTAAGGCCACCTGAAAACTGCACAAAAGTGCAGTGTTTCACTACCAGGGGCATGGCAGGGCTGATGTGCCTTACCATCTCCTGGGAGTGTTGGCCAGGGCCACGCAGCTAACGAATTGGGCCGGCGCGAAAGGTGCCGGCTCTTTAGATGGCAAAGATTGATCTAGAAAGATGACGTGGACCGATGTGAAGTTCAATTGTTAAGACTCTGCTGGAGGAGACAACCGGATGGCAGACCCAACAGCTAGATTGTCGCCCCCTTCATCAGCCGACAGCGTGGCTCTCGCTCGCAGCATTTGTGACAACATCCATTTGGTCAAGAGTGAAAACCCTTGTTGGGCAAGACTGACCTCTCAACCTCTCACCCTGCTTCAAGTCACATGTGCAAAAACCCTAGCAATGCAATTGCATAATATGCAGCATTCAGGGGGGCGAAGACCTCCAAGCAGTTGGACAGGTTGCCACTTTGGTTTTCATTTCGCTCGGCCATGCTGGGATTCAGCCTCTCCAAAAGGCCACCACCGGCCGGGCGCGGCTAGCGCAGACAACTCGCGGGAACTCACGGGCACCGCAGTTTTGACCTGTCACCGGTGGTTGCTTCTCTGCACGGACGCCTTGACAGGATAAAAACTTGACAGATAACTGCGACACTCCAGGGCTTGGCTGCGGGTGCTGGGCCTCCTGGTGGCTGCGGCAGCTTATTTGCTCCAAGCACATCGCCGCTCGGAGCGAAGGGGCTGTGGAAGGTCGGTTTTGAAGGTCATGGAAGGTTGAAGCTGAAACGGAAGGGTTCGACCTACGTGAGTTTTTTGATTGTTTGCTGAGATTGATGGATTTGATCTGATTTGATTGACTTGATTGATGCACCTTTTCTTTGCTATGTTTTGCTCATGCTTTCTCCACTTACAGCGAGTGCCCTGCCAGTGTGGCTTCCCACGAGCCTGGGTTTCATAGGAGTCCTGATAGGTTCGGCTTACCATGAACAATAGACAGTCCGGAAGTTCTTACAGTTACACCCTCCATGGCATGTTCCTGACGTTCAGGCCATGGCCGTCAGGGTGGGACTGGTGGGACCCTTCTGCAGTACGACGCCTTTGTCTTCCGTCCCTTTCTCTCGTGTTTTCGCTGAGCAGTCTTGAAGCTCTGAATGACTTGGCCAAGTGAGGAAGCCTGTCATCCAGAGCTGTGAGCTACGTGAAACCTGGGCATTGGGCAGTGGTGCTTGGAGGAAGCGAAGGTCTTGGAGAGGTGGGATGTCACCAGACAAAGCACTTGTATGCGTCGATTTGATTTGACCTTTAGTACCTTTTCCTTTTCCCAGGAATCTGTCACATTTGGTGAATAGTGTGCGTCTATTCAGCTGCAAGGCATGGGCATATCAGCTGGGGCACCTTGACATGAACCTCATTGTAGTGGCCAGGCGACCAGGAGGGATAGGACGGAACTTGAGGAGGACTATCGTGGACATGAGGTTCCTCAAAGCAGGTGAAGATTCTCGGAGATTTGTATGACCTGACAGCAACACACTCAGTGTGTTGTAGAAGAACGACTTAGGTGGATCTAAGCAGTGACCCGTACATCTCTTTTGCAGAATTCACCGAACGCAAGGCGCGAGAAGCCTTTGGAAGACGTTCGAAAAACCATTCATGAGAAGAAGCCGGACCTGAAGGCGCTCCTTCTCCAGTGAAACAATTGCATTTTGAGCAATCCTCTCGTGGCTTCTCAGCTGAAGGGTTTGACAAGCTTTTTGCCTACAGCTGAATGCAGCGGACACGTCATGGAAGGAACCTATCGCATGACATGGAGGTGGTTTTCGGATGCAGTGATGCAAGCTGTAGCCTTCCTTTGAAACACAGAGGTCTGACCAACTGAAGAGAACCAGAGTGAATCTAGAGTCAGCTTGGGCACAAGCATTTGATCCCTCAAGTTATTTCTGCGTCCGGAAGATGAGTGTGGTAACGGTCTTGGGAGCGAGTCATCGTTTTCCGCTCGCATCAATACCTGGCATTTTTGTGAAGAGGTTAGTAGGTTGGAGGCCATCGCTATTACTTTGGAGGCCATCGCTGGTAGGTTTTGTCCCCTGAGTTCATTCATTCCAACCGCCATGGCGCTCTTTATGATGCAGAAATGGGAGCAGATGCAGGACGTCTGGGATGACGGTTCTTTCAAGGTCTAAAGCGTACTCTCCAAAACCTACACCTCGATCCTCCACACCGAACGCTTCAGGACCGAGTGTCCGACTGGTCAGGACCGAGTGATCGGGGCTTCGTCATGTGTTTTTGCCTGTTGAACCCAGTGGTCAACACTGCGGCGGTGCTGATTGGATTGCTGATCCATTCCATTCCTTAGAATCCAATCGAGTGGAGTCCACAAGCGTGGACGTGTGCCGTGTGCAGGACTCCTCTCGAGTCTGTCTCACATGCGTGGAGAGCTTGGCGATATGTCCTCCGCATCCTTGGCCGTGGCCCTGGCCATGGCCCTGGCGATGTCCCGTTCCTGTCGACACGGTGGCGAAAACCGTCCGTCGGTCGACGGTCGACGTGAGGTAGTTGGACTTCGAGCCGTTCATGTGGCGAATCGACTGATCGACCAAGCCGGGGTGCCACGTGGTGCCAGGACAGAGACTGAAGAGGTTAGCAGATGGTATGATGTTGGACAGACTGAGATCTGAAGAGTGAGGTGTTGGGGGGGTTGAGTCCATTTGTCTGAAGGAAGGTAGTAGGGAATGATGGCCTCAGGTCTTGGAGGAAGTGCTGCGCAGTCAAAGCAGATTTGCCAACTTCCTGTTGCTTTGCGCAGCAAGTTCTGGATTTCATGCCGCATACAGACATCGGGCATTGATCACTCAGAAGTTGAACACTCCACAGAGTGCATCTTGGCTTAAAACTTAAAACTTAAAACTGACTGTTTCCCATCAAAGGATACTTTTGTAAGGTCTGTGGCCAAGCCAGAGCAATCGAAGATTACTATGTGCTACTTCCAGTCTGACGACTGCAGCCACGACCTGAGGCGACTTCCTTGGAGGATAGAACCGAGTGGCTTGCTCAACTCATTCATAATTTGAAGCGGCTGCCACCCAACTTCTGGTATTCCAGCGGCCTCACTTGCTTGATCTCCTTACAAATCACACAGCGTCTTGGAGTGCCTGGAAGCCCAGAAATGATCGAAAGACGCTGGGAGTTTCGATGAACGAAAGGACGTGAACAATTTTGTTCAACTCTCGACTGAAGGTGGTGTGTGAAGCAGACAGCCCACAAGCGAGTAGGGCAGCAGTTGTTTGGGCTGGAGCCTCAGCAAGAAAATGCAAGAAACACGTAGAAACACCCTTGAGACACTCGGTCTTTCATGTTTAGTTTCATGAGGCTCCTTTGCATTGCCCTCTTCCTCATCTCCTTCTGGAGTGAGCAAATGACCGAAGAGCAGGTGCGATGGCTCCGAGAGCGAACGTGCCCCAGCGGCAACTGAAGGATGGAGACGCCCCACCGATGGGCGCTGGTCGACCTTGCGCTGGTCTTCCGCCCAGGCAATCGCTCATCGCTCGCAACAGTCTCCAAGACAGAGCGAGAGCTGTCCGGGCCCCGAAGGACACACCGTGGGCATGTGGAATGTCAGTGATTCAGGCATGCACTGAGTACTAAGTTACTGTGTGGTGGATCAGTTGATCAAAACCGCTGTTGCTGATTGGGAACACCCGAAAATGAGAACTTCGGCGGGGAAATAGAAAGGCCAAACCTAAGCTAGCTAATGTTACCTCACGACTAGGCAAAGTAGAAGAAGATCTCATTGATGACTTGTTGGCTTCAGCTTCATTCGGTGTTTTGAGGCCACAGGTGCCTTCCGATCCGTGTGAGCGGAGGGGCACGGAAATAGTGGACATCGGCCAAAGTCTGCCGTGCGCAACAAAGGATGGCGCAAAGACCATGCATCTACGTACATCAAGAATCATCAAGATCTAAAAAGAATCTAGTATTCTGTAGCGATGCACTTGTTACTAAGTAGTAAGTAGTAAGTGCGTTCTCACCAAAGTCATAGCTGCCTTCTAGAATAGCACCTGTCAGAGTTTTATGTGCATGGATCCTCCCAAGTGAGGACATACTGAAAGGGACCTTTGTCGGGGACACGGCAGGTGGAGCTTTACAAGCGAGACTTGGCGCGCCTGAACGAGAGCAGCTTCTCTGAGATGCTTGAGGGACGCGATGTGCACGGCCCCAGATGAGAGAGCCAAAGACAGGTAGGTAGGGGATAGGCGCATGCTGCTGTTCGTTTGGTCGACCTCAAGTCAGTTTTGTTTTTGCGCTTGAGGTTAGAGTAATGATCTACAATGCAGCATATGCTGGAACAGCGGGGCGTTTCTTGGAAGCGGACGCAGGCTCGCTACATGGCGTTTCAAAGGATTCCTAGGGTATCCAAGAATCAAGACGCATACATGGCCTTACTACTAGGAACAAGAACGCTACTAGGAGCAAAGGGCATCGCTACTAGGAGCAAGGACGCTACTAGG